CCCTCCCCATGATGGCATTTTTGGTTCCCCTGTGGCGTCCCCGCGGCCAGTCCCTACTGGGAGACGCGCCGGCGTGCGTCGCCGGTGCGCCCTGCCGCGAGGCCTCGCCTGTGACCGCTGCCGCACGGCCGCTGGGTCTTGGGCACGTGAGCGAGTGTGAGGACAGCCGGGTCCCCACCTGGGACTCGCAGAGACGCAGGAAGGAGCCCGAGTTCCTCTCCGCTCAAGAATCTGGACGTGCACGTCCGCGCCGAGAGACTGGCCGGCTCGTGTTGGCGGTGTTGTCCGGTCAAGTGCGGAGCAGGCCCCCCGGCGCCTCCGTCCGCTGCCCAGGAGGTGCCTGCAGCTGCGAACCCCCCCCCGCGCCCCGTGTCTGCCCTTCCGCCCCAGGCCCTGCCGCGCCGCCGCCCTCTCCGCGCCCCTCGGCAGCGCCCGCTGGCACCGACAGGCCCGGCAGCACAGAAGGACTGGCCGGGGGAAGCCGGAGGCCGCGGGCAGGGGCTGAGCCGGCCCCCCTCGCCGGCGCCGCGGCGACCCCACAGACAGCTGCGTTTGCGGCTTCCTTCCACGTCTCTCTTTTTCTAGCACCAGCCGGGCCTTTCCCCGCGGACTCCTGGTCCGCGGTGCGCTGTGTTCCTGGCCAGCGGCGCGCGGACTCCGGTTCAGACCCTCGCGCGAGGCTCTGGCTCTGCGGTCACCTCGCTGCGCCCCCGAGCTCCGAAAGGCTGTTGTGGAGCTGTCCGGTCCTCCGGGGACGCTGCTGTGGCATCCAGGAGGTTATTTCGTTTCTTTGCCTTAGTTCTGACAGCGTTACGTCGGAAGGCTTGGTTCCCGAAAGCAGGCTCTCGGGGGCTGAGGCCCGCAGCGTCTTCCAGACCGCCCTCCGAACTCACCCCGCACATGCCCCGCGCCGGCGGCCGCCCTGCCCCGCGCCTCCGCTGCGCACCGCCCGCCCCGCCCGCCCACGGCTGACTGATGACCCTCACAAACACGGCCCCTCCTTCGTTGCCAGGTTGGCCTTCCCTGACGCCTGGTGACGTCTTCACGGGGCATTTTGGGCTTGAATGTCAGAAAGACTGACCGGAGTGTCTGGGCTGAACAGGAGGTTTGCTCTGTCACTGAACGGGTGAGAAGGGGGCAGGGCCAGGGTCCTCCGCCACCCTCAGTGCGTCTGCGGCGTCCCCTGCAGTCACAGGCAAGGCATCAGGGCAGTTCTCAGTGCCCGGCGTAGCCGGGACAGGGTCTAGGGGCAGGGGAGGCGTGGTCTTCCCCTGCGGGACCCTCCCAGGCGCCCCCAGAAGACACCCCTCTTGCCCACCTGGCCAGCACTCGACCTAAGCCCCGGGTGTGGACGAATCACTGGCAAAGGGACGAGACCAAGGCCACTACTGTCGGTCACCGCGTCCTGCCGGCGTCGGAGGCCGGAGGGCAGCTGTGCGGGTGCGCCCGGTGTCCCGGGTCGTTTCGCACCCCGCCTCCAACACACAGTGGCCGCCCCGCAGCTCCAGTGCCCTCGGGGGTCACACTGGTCCGCACCTCCTGGGGCGGAGACGGCATGCCTTCCCGGGGGCACCTGGCGGAGCCCGCGACTCCACGAAGGAGTTGCGAGGGGGACTCTGTGGTGACGAGCAAGGCAAGTAGGCAGGGCCGAGCCCCCACCGGGACCACCGGCTCCAGGGTGGGGGTGGAGCGGGTCCACGGTGAAGACTGTAACCTCTCTCCATTCCAGTCAGGCATTCTAGCCCAGTGAGCCACGGCGCCCCTCTCCCGGGCGGGCGACGCTGGACCAGCCCGGGGAGCGGGGAGCATCCGTCTCCGCAGGTCGGGGTACACTCTGCAGGATGACCGAAGTCTAGTGCCCTTGGCAGTTTGTCCCCCAGCCCGGCCTCACCCTCTCCTGGGGTCAGCGTGGGTCGCTCCACTTCCTCCCGGTCTTCCAGACCCTCCCACCGTGTCCTCTCGGTACCTGCTGCCCCCCCGGCCCAGCTCGGCTCACGCTCTGCCCTTCGTGCATCTGTGTGTCTGCTCCGAGACAGCCCCTCCTCCTGGCCGGTCCAGACGCACCCTCGCCCAAGTTTTCCTGACGGACAGGCGCCCAGCTGTGCTGTTCCAGCTGGAGCCACCGGTTCCTGCCCCACAGCAGCCCCCAGTGGCCACGTGACAAGGTTCTGAGGGCTTTTGGGGGTGTTTTTGCCGTTCTCTTTCCCTCTCCGGAACACAGAGCCCAGCGGAGGAGTAACCGCCTCCCCCGTGAGGCTGAAGTCACGTGGAGACCCAGGCCTGGGTGCCCTCGGGGCCACACCCCGGCCTCCACCTCCCGACGGGGGTCTGGGGAAACGATACACCCCTCGCTGGCCTGGCTGGGCCGCCGCACGGCACGCCGGCCACACGCAGGCGGGGCCCACCCTAGCTCCGAGCCTCCCTCGTGTCCCTCCTGAGTCCCTCAGGGGTTCATCAACCTTATTTCCCCCCAAACACTCAGCTTTATTTGCCGTGTGACTGACGTTAGCCCTTAACCTTGAGTAACCTCCTTCTGTGACTTTGTTTTGATCTGGCTAATTGGTTTTATGTGCGTATTTTTAGCGAGAAACTCAGCTGAGTTTACAGAATTTCCTTGTGTTTATTCCATGCATACGTGAGGTCTGTCCAGAAAATGTCCAGCCGTTGTTAAAATAATGAGAATCATTTGCGTGACATCGATGTCACCTGGCAGACAAGGAGAGTGGGCTGGAATTCACGTATGTGAACAGTGACGACCTCACAGTACTAGTCAGTGGGGCGGTAGACACCATGGAGGGAGCGTGTGTACTGTGTGGTTGTCACATTCAGAATGACTGAGCAGCAGAGGAACAAATCCGCATCACATTTTGCATTAAGCTCAAACATTCCTCTGTGGAAACTATTCCAATGATTCAGAGGCCGAAGCTGTGGGCAACTGGTGATTGGCAGCTTCGTCATGACAACGCACCTGCTCACGCATCACCTCTCCTGCAAAGTTTGTTGGAAAAACATCCAATCATCCAGGTGACTCAGCACCCAGACAGCCCAGATTTGCCATCCTGCAACTTCTGACTTTTCCCAAAACCAAAATCACTTTTGAAAAGGGAGAGATTTCAGACCATGGATGAGATTCAGGAAAATTCGACAGGGCAGCTGATGGCGACTGGGAGAAGTGTGTGAGGTCCCAGGGTGCCTGCTCTGCAGGGGACTGAGGTGTCACTGTCCTGTGTACAGTGCTTCTTGTCTCATGTATCTTCTTCAGTAAATGTCTCTACTTTTCAGAGCAGGTGGCTAGATACTTTCTGCACAGACCTCTTACAATGTTGTTTATATATAGTTATTTATAATTTATACATTATTTTATATAGTGCTATTAAACAGTATTATTTACATACTACATAATGTTATGTAAGATTATTGACTTTCTAGTTACTTGTTAGGTAATCCACTTTGCCTTTTAATTTCCTTTTAATTTAAACCTTATTTAGACATATCTTTTCACTTCCAAATGGTTATGTTTTACTTTGGATTTTTTTGTGGTCAATTTCTAGTCCTCCGGGGATCGCGCGGCACTGCTGAGGAAGGTACAGAGTTTCCGAAGAGCCGCTCAGCAAAACAGCTCCTCCCCCAGGGCTCCGCCACCCCCCCTCCCCCCCCGGGGGCAGCCCCTGGAGTAACCCCCTCAGCTGATGACTTAGCCAGATTCCACCGTTCTGAGCAACAAGCTTCAGCTTCTGGAATTTGTCTTTCTAATTTAGGCCTCGTCTGTTGACTTAGCCTTGGGAGGATGAAGGTTCATCATCTTCCACCATCTTCCTCCCCCTCACCCCTCCCCTCCCGCTCATCAACTCAGGCTGTAATTGTGCTGGGGTCCGGTTGCCCGAACATCTCGAGTCCGTTGTTACGGCAATGAAAAAGAAACACCCAGCTCCGCCCGGTCACATTCTGGGATCACTTCGGACTTCCTGCACACCATTCCTGTTCCCCGGAGTTGAAACCCGTCCTGTGTTGTTGCGGCCGGCGAGCCGCGGAGCTCAGCTTACAGGACCGAGCTCTGGGGGAAGCAGGATCGGGTGGGCGGGAGGCCGGCGCCGGGCACGGCGCCGCACCGCGGCCGGCGGAGTTGGAGTGGGAGGGCGGTCGGGTGAGCCGGGCTGGGACTCCAGAGGAATCTGATGGAAGATCGGTTTCTGGTTTTGCTCCGGTGTCCTGTCTCTACAAAGGGTGTGTGTCCGTGGGTGAGGGGAGCCCACAGGACGCCTGAGTGGGTTCCAGAGCCTCCGGGAACGCAGGGAAGTTAGGAGAGGGACGGCGCGGGGGTGGGGGGCAGCCCGTTGCGGGGGCAGCGCCGCACGGAGCGCAGGTTCTCGGACGAGCACAATTCTGGAAGCAGGCCGGTTCTGCGGCCGGTTCTGAAGCAGGTCGCGGACACAAAGGGATTCTGGAAGCAGGTTCCGGAGACTGGCTCTGGGCGTGCGGGCGGCACCCGCCGGCGAGGGGCCGGGCCGGAGCGCGCGTCCGCAGCAGGGAGAAGAAAGCGGGCATTGTTTGAGAACTCGCCCGGCGCTCGCTCCTTCAAAACCGTTAAAACCCCCATTGTGAACACTTTTGCACGAGCCTCCGGGAAGGTCCCTGTTGCCGTGGGACGGGGTAGAACCGCGCGGCGGTAACCGTGGAGTCTGCCCGGGGGCCGCGCGCCACGGCGCGTCGAGGGGGTCGGAACTGGCACAGTTCGCGAGCTTCGCGTTATTTTTTCCTCTTCCCCAACCTTGGGGCACACCAGCGCCGCCCGCGCATGCGTAGTGCGCGCCCCGCGGCAGCCGCTCGGCGTCGGGCCGCGCGGTTACCAGGGGTGACCGCATTCCCCTGGGACTTCTCGGGTGGCTGGGCGGGGCCTGGGCTCCCGGAGCCAACCCCCAGTCGCTTTCTGATTGGCCGAGGCTGCTGTCCGTCGGGGCCGCCGCTGTCGCCGACTGGGCCGAGGAAAGTTTCGCACACTTGGCTCGGGGCGCCACGCCCCTCCCTCCCGCCGGTCCTGCCACCCGGGACGAGAGGACAGTTCAGGACCCGGCGCGGCGCCCCGGAGGGACTGGCACGGGCTTCGGCTTCCAGGCGGGCGCGCCCGAGCGGCGGGCTGCGATGATCCCCGAGGAGAAGCAGGACGGCCCGAGCGCCGGCGAGGAGAGCCCCGGGCTGCAGGCGGCCGGCAGCGTCTGCAAGGTGGGCGCGCCCGCGGGGCTGGGGGGCGCCTGGTGACGGGGCTGGCGGGGGGCCCCGGAGCCGGCGAGCACGCGGGGCTGCTGATCCGGCGCTGCGTCTCCCGTCCGAGGGCAACGCAAGTCTCGCAGGCGGCCGCCTTGCACACCTCGCTCGCCCCAAGAGGGCAAGCTAGGCGATCCGCTGGGGAAACTGAGGCCGGTGGAGGGCCAGAACCCTCAATGTTTGCCTGCGCTGGCTTCTCTCACGTCTGTTCGCGGTCACGTGCGGGGCAGAGGCAGGAGGCCCCTCCTGTGTGGCTCTGGAATGGGGGGGCGGGGTGGAGCGCCGCTCTGCTTACTGTTTTCAGGACGCTCTGGGCTCCCTTCTCTGGCAGGTGCTGGGCTCTGGTCTGTGACAGCCGGGGCCCTAGGGAATGTTCTTGGGCTGGTCATTCCACGTTTCCTGAAACCGCCCTCTCCCCAGGGCTGTCTGGCTTTGCCCTGGGCACCCAGCTCTGTGTTTGGTGACACTTTGAGCTGCAGGCGGCTGAAGCCTCCCAGATACAGGAAACAGCTGGAGGATTTCACAGCTGGGGAGTTCATCCTCTCATCGCGCCCCCCCCCAGCCCGCTGCACACCCGCCCCCTCGTGAGCTCCCTAACCCCGGGCACTGCCTGTGGACTGTGGACCACTCCCAGGAGTACCGGGAGGCCCTGGGAGGCCCCGGGAGGCCCCGGGAGTGGGTAGAGATCTACCAAGTCCGTATCTGGGGGAGAGGGGGTATTCTGGCTGACTTGCTCTGTGGCCCAGAAGCTGAGTGTCCCCTGGGGTCAGCTCGAGGCTGTCCCCGTGTTCATGCTGAGAACTGGACTTCCACGCCTTGAAGCCCTTCAGTCTGGTGCCGCCAAGCAGAGGTGGCACCTGCACCTGCGACGATGCCTCGCCCCCTCCCTCTCCCGTGTCTGGCTGTACAGCGGGCCCCACTGCTCTGTTCCGCTTCCGTGTGCCTAGGGCCCAGGCCTCCCAGGGGGGACAGGGGGGTGTCAGGTGGGACAGAGCTCCGGGTTCCTGGCCACGAGATGCTGACCAGACCCTTGGAGGGGCAGGCTCCTCCCTCCTCGCCCCCGGGAGATGCCAGGTGCTGCAGCACCCCAGGGGAATGCCAGCCTGGGACCCCACTGCATGGGCGCTGGGGACAGGAGGCCCATCCCCTCGCAGACTGGCAGGGCGGGCCGGCAGCGGCCTTCGGAGAGAGCGCCAGTCGTTTCGTCTGGTCGGAGCGTCTGGGAGGCCGCTCACCCAAGATGCTCCGGAGGGCTCTGCGGACACTCCCAGGCCCTCTGTCCCACCGCCACCGGGGGCGGGGGACAGACACTGTTTCCGGCCTTCTCTCTGGGGTGACCCAGCGGTCGGAGCATCCTGGCTTGTGTCCCGACAGGGAGACCCTGGGCTGGGGGCAGGCCAGTGGGGTGTGGGCCGCAGCCCAGCCCAGCCCTGAGCGACACCGCAAACCCTCGCACCCCGCTCCGTTACATGGTCCGGTGGTTCTGGCCCCCTGGGAAGTCTAACCGCCACCCCCCTCACCCCCACCGCCAGGCTGGAGGGAGAGGCTGACCCCACACTGCTTATGCCGTCCAGAGTCAGGACGGTCGGCCAGCTGGTCTCGTGAAAGCCATGCCCGGGTCCGGGTCCAGGGCCCCTGTGGACCAGCATGGGTGGTGTCTCAGCTCCACAGGTGTCGAGAGCGGGTGTCCAGAGGGCACCCTCTGGCCCTGGTGTCCAGTGGGGACTCACCAGCACCAGGCTGGGGCCCGCTGAAGAGCGACCAGGCCCAGCCCAGTCAGCGGGGGCCCTGGGAGTGGGGCTGCCCAAGGTCTCCCAGGAGCCGCCAAGGCCAGCTCGAGCCTCAGCCAGGGTGCCGTGGGGGTCGCTCAGCCAGCCTGAGTGCCCTGGTCTGCGGTCTGTCTAGTCTGTGGGTGGTTCGGCCACTGTGTCCTGGCTCTGTCCCCCTAACCGTGTTTGGTGGGTGGGAGAGGTGGAGAGTGGGGATGCTGGGCTTTGCCCCCCCAGAGTGTCCAGTTCTTCTGTGCTCAGAGGAGGCCCCTGAGGCAGGTGGGCGTCGGCAGGTGGAGCCAAGGGCTCTGGGAGGAGGAGGAGGCGGGTCTGCCAGGCCCGGGAGCCTCTCCCTGGAAACCCATGGAGGCAGGGGGCCCTGGGGAGGGCGTGGGGCCCCTGCTGTTTGTCTCTGGCCCGTGTTGGCCTAACTGCCTCCCTCTGGCCGCCGCCCACACCGTTTCCTCCTGGGCCGCTGGGGGCCGTGGGCCTCAGGCTTCCGGGCCGCCAGAGTGGCCAGGCCTGTCCTGTCGGGGCCCCAGCAGTGAGGGGTCGGGGGTCACTTCACTCGTCCCCGCCCTTCCCACCTGAGCTGGGTTTCCGCACGGGGCGGACGCCGATCGCCCGGCGCCTGCGCCCTCGCTGCTGGCAGATCCTCCACCACGGGGCCCTGGCTCGGCCGGGGCGGACGAGCGTGAGCAGAGCTTTCCCGTACGTCCGGCAGCGCCCGGCCTCGGTGGCAGGCTCCGGCACCTCGGCACCCAGGCCACGGCGGCCGGCCTGGCCTGGCCTGGCGGGAGCGCTAGGGTCGGGGCCGCATGCGGTGCTGCGGGGCACGGGGTGGACGCGGCTCCGAGGCTGGGGCTCTCCCGCGCCCAGCACGTCGCTCCAGGGGCGCGAGACACCACAGCCTCTGCCCAGCACTGGGTACCCCCACCCGGGGCAACGAGCCGTGGCCGCTCCCCCAGGACGCTTGGAACCTGCTGGAAGTTTGCAGTCGGACTTTCCGAGGGAGAGGGGTGCAGCTGCGGCTCCCTCCCCAGAGTCTCAGGCCTCCTCCAGCACGGGGGGCGCCTGCGGAGAAGAGGCGCAGGCCGGAGGGAAGATGCAGCCGGTAGGGCGGAGGGAGGAGAGCCGTGTTTCCTCTTGCTCCCCGCTGGTGCCGCCGTGAGACCAGCCCCCCGCCGTCTACAGATGAGGGCCTGCCCGGGGTCCCATGGCGAGGCGCTCTCTGCGCCACCACTGCTGTCTCTCCCGGGGTTCAGTGGGGGGCGTGTGCCCTCCCCACAGTTATCTAAGGACCGCTGGCAGCCTCCTGACCTTCAAGTGCCAGGAGAGTGCCTCCTTCTCCGAGAAGTCTTCCCTGATTGACCTCTGTGGAGAACGCTGGAGTCCGGACACGTTGGGCCGTAAACCAAGGAGGGGTGGGCCAGCAGCAGCCTTCTCTGGGTCCGTTTTTAGGGCGCTCCCTTCTAGTGCCGCAGCAAGCGAGAGCCTGCGGGGGTCTGAGTGTGACACTGGGGGGCGCTCCCAGGACAATAAGCCACGCCCCGCGGACGTGGGGAAGACAGCAGCTGCTGCAGGGAGCCCAAGGTCTGCGACACACACGTGGACAACGTGCCTCCCTCCGGCCCGTGCTGGGGGGCAGCGGTCTGGGGGGCGCTGTGCCTGCACCCCCACTGACGGGGCTCCAGTAAGTGCCCAGGTGGACACTGGCCGGGGAAGGTGGTTCTGAGAAGTCCTTCCTGTGTCCCGGACTGGTGACTGACCACGACAGGAGCTCCATAAATGGCTAGGAAGTGGCTGCGGCAGACACCAGTGGGTCCCCTGGAGGCCCTGAAAGCCTTTTGGGGTCCCGCTCCCCTCCCCTGCCCCAACGGAAGCCTCTGGCTTCCACCCCCTGCTGCAGAGGCTGCCCCTGCGCGGCATCGCCGCAGTGAGGAGCCCACCAAGGCACAGCCTCCAGCTGCTTCCAGGGCCTTCACCTGGGCCCCCGCATGCGGGCAGGCGGGCTGGCACAGCGGCCCTGTGCGGTGAGGGGTGCCGCCGAGGCGGGCAGGGGGCAGCCAGGAGCCCGGCGACCCTGGGCTGCGGTTTGGGCGTTTGCCAAAGAGTCCCCTCCGGCCATCCGTCAGCGGGGACAGAGCCCAGCAACAGGGTCAGCGTGGGCGGAGCACCGCACGGAGGGGCGGGCCCAAGAGCCAGCCTGCAGCAACCTGCAGGCTCCGGGACCCGTCCTCCCGACCCGGTGGTGTGCCAGGGCGCTGTGTGGGCAGGGTGGGCCGCGGGGGCTCCGGAACGAAATTCCAAAGTGCAGGCGGGTGTGTGTGAGCAGTTGGCCGCCGCCTGCCCGGGGCTCCCAGAGCCGCCTGGGTGTCAGGGCGGGCCTGAGACCCGGAGCCCCGTCACGCTGCCCCGGGCCCCACAGAATCAGCCAAGCCTCTTCCTGGGGCCCCGGCCCAGCTCCGTCCCGTACCCGCCGCGTCCCTCCCGGCCCACTGCCCTTCTCTCTGGAGTCCCCTCTGAGCCCAGCCCTTCCCCACGCTCACCCACCCTTCCCCACGGGCAGGGGGTCCCTGGCCCAGCCTCAGGGCCGCCGTGCGACTGTGAGCTGCTGACAGGGCGGCCGGGCCGTGACCCACGGCCTCTCTGCAGGGCAGTGAGACCGCGGCGCAGGCCCAGCGCGGCCGCCTGCAGAGCCGCAGGGCCCGCATCCACCAGCAGATCAGCAAGGAGCTCCGGATGAGGACGGGCGCCGAGAACCTCTACAGGTGAGCGCTGGCCCCCGGGGCCCTCCAGGGGGCGGGGCGGTGCTGCCCTCTGGGGGTTCCCCCACCCCGAGCCGGGCCTGTGCTGGGTGACGAGGGCGGGGCGGTGACCCAGGCAGCGCCTGCTCTCGTGGGCAGGTCTGGGCCAGGGGCTCCCGAGCAGGTGACTGTGGCCAGTGCATCCTGCCAAGACTCGGGGCAGGCCTCCCACCAGGGTCTGGGGTGGACACGCTGCTCAGCCAAGGCCTTCACCACCCACCCAGGCCCCCAGCTTGGTGGGTCCCTGGCAGGGGCCAGCTCAGGGCCAGCCGAGGTCCGTGCTGGGCTGGAGCGGACCTGGAGGGGCCTTCCCACTGGTGGGCAACAGGGGGGCCTCTGATATGCCTGTGGTGATCAGCAGTGGCTTCTCAGAAGAGGCACTGTTTAGGCTGAGCTCCGGCAGGCAACCAGCGTCCCACGGTTGGGGACCCAGGGAAGGCCCCTCCCCCTTAGAGCAGGAGAGCTGCACGCGTGTCCTGGCTCCACACGCACCTGCATGCACTGGTGCTGTGGGTGGGGCCCGGGGGTGGCGACTCCAGGGCGGGGCTCTGCTGGGCCCCAGGGGCCCCTCCTCCTCCTTAGCAGCCTGAACTCTCTGTCCACCCCATCTGTCCAGCCTTCCCAGTGACCCACGGCCCCTCCTCTGGGCACCGAAATGCGGGCACAGAGGGTCGGACCCCACCCATCCAGGGAGATGGGCTTGGAGTCTCCCAGAGGGTGCACCTGTGTCCCGGGGGAGGGGGAGGTAGAGCGTGGCTGTGTCCCGAAGTCCCGGGCCGGAGTCCGGACCAGCGTGCAGGAGGAGGGGAGGGCATCTCACCGGCCCAGGGCCCCACTGCTGCCCCGCCCCCCCCCCGCTGGGGATGGGGCTCTGGAGCCCAGGCTGGGCGGGGCTGGGGCTGGCGGGGCGTCGGGGGTGGGGGTAGCCGGCCTGCAGGGCTGGCCCGTCACCGCAGCCTGGCCCCCCCCAGAGCCACCAGCAACACCCGGGTCAGGGAGACCGTGGCCCTGGAGCTGAGCTACGTCAACTCCAGCCTGCAGCTGCTGAAGGAGGAACTGGAGGAGCTCAACTGCAGCGTGGACGGGGAGGGGCCTGCTGGGAGGTGCGTGTGCACACGCGATCGCACGCGCGGGAATGTGGAGACGGGGTGCGATCACACACGCGGGGATGTGGAGGCGGGGTGTGGCCCAGGTCGGCGCCGGTGGGGCGTGCGTGGGTGTGCAAGGGTGCGTCTCGGGGAGAGGTGTGTCCTGTGCGGCAGGAGTGGGAGAGGTGGGCTCCGTGGCCTCCCGGGACAGCAGGGTCCGGCCTCAGAGCCTGGACCGGGTGCTTCTGGTTCCAGCGAAGGAGTCGCCGTGCCCATGATCCCCCTGGGGCTGAAGGAGACCAAGGAGCTGGACTGGTCCGCGGCCCTCACGGTGAGTGCGTGCGCGCCTGGGGGCCCGGCCCTGCCCTGGGCCTGTGGGGCCTTGGGGGCTTCCTGGTCCAGCCGCCTCGTTGAGCACGTGGAGAAACAGAGGCCCAGAGGGAGGGAGGGTCCGACCTGAGGGCCCCTGCGGCCTCCCTGGCTGTAGGAGGGGCTCTGACGGAGGGGGGGCGGGGCTTTGGAGGAGATCCCCGCTCGGTTGGCTGCCGGCAGAGCCGGTCATCCTGCTAGAGACCCCAGGACCGCCACGGGGCTCCCTGACTCACGCTCCGAGGGTCCCGCTGGCTGTGGGCCGCCCCTGCAGTCAGCCTGTGCCCCGAAAACCCACCGGGTCCCCCGTCCTCATCCGGGGCCGGGCTGTCCCGGGCCAGCTGGCCACTGCTCCGCAGGCCCAGGTCAAAGGTGCCTCGAGGCCCCTGCCTGTCAGGGGGCACGTGGTGCCTGCCCACAGGGACTAATAAGGGACCCCGAGTCGAAACAGCACCGAGTCTCTGGGCCTCCCCTTCCCTCCCCCGCTCCCCACCCCCCCACGGGCTCTTCCCCACGTCGGGCTGGGAGTTTCCGGCCCAGGCCAGCGCGTGCCCCTCCCCCCAGGAGCTGATCTCTCAGCACTTCGGAGAGGACGGCGCCTCCTTTGAGGCGGAAATCAAGGAGCTGGCGGACCTGCGGCAGGTGGGTGGGCCCCGCCCCCCGCCCCGCCCCGCCCCGCCCCACAGGGAGACCGGCCACGCCCAGTCACAGAGAGGCTCGGCCGGGGGCCACAAAGCGGAGTTCAGTGTAGACCTTCACGCTGCAGGAGTCGCCCCCTGGGGGCAGCTCCAGGGACAGCGGGGACAGGGGCCCACTGTGGGCTCCCCGCTCCAGCACCCCGGGTGCGATGTGCGGGCCCCGTGGGAGTGGGGGCTCCGTGCCTGTCCCCTCCCCAGGGACCCTGCCTCCCTCCTCGCGCCCAGTCAGTCTTCGGAGGTTCCGGGGGTGGTGTGCGTGCGCGTGCGGTGGGACGGGCCGGCCGGGGCCCAGCCGGCTCCTGCCCCGCAGGCCATGCGGACCCCCAGCCGGAGCGAGTCGGGCCTGGAGCTGCTCGCCGCGTACTACAACCAGCTCTGCCTCCTGGACGCGCGCTTCGTCAGCCCCGCCCGGAGCCTGGGGCTGCTCTTCCACTGGTAGGGCTGGCGTGCGCCCTGGGGCCTCCCCGGCCCGCGTGCGCCCCGCTCTGCGCCCTCCACGTGCGGTCGCGGAGCCCCACCCCGCCTGACCCAACCTTGCAGGTACGACTCGCTCACGGGGGTCCCGGCCCAGCAGCGGGCCCTGGCCTTCGAGAAGGGCAGCGTGCTCTTCAACATCGGGGCCCTGCACACCCAGATCGGCGCGCGCCAGGACCGCTCCCGCGCCGAGGGCGCCGGCCGCGCGGCGGAGGCCTTCCAGAGGGCCGCTGGTGAGGGCGCCCCGGCCCGGGGCCCACAGCCACGGCCAGGGTGCCGGCTGTCCCCTGGGGGCGGGCAGGGCGGCCCCGGCGCACCGCTGTGAGCGCCCCCTCCACAGGGGCCTTCCGCCTCCTGAGGGACAAGTTCTCCCACGCGCCGAGCCCGGACATGAGCCCCGCCTCCCTGTCCGCTCTGGAGCAGCTCATGGTGGCCCAGGCCCAGGAGTGCGTCTTCGAGGGCCTCTCGCTGCCGGCCCCCCCGGCGCCCCACGACTGTTTGGCCCAGCTGCGCCTGGCTCAGGAGGCCGCCCAGGTGAGGGCAGGCAGGACTGTACAGGCACCCTGCGGGGGCTGTGTCTCCTCCGTGCTCCCCAGGCCAGGGTGTCCTCCTGGCCCCTGCGGGACTGGTCGGGACCCCAGGTCCCCGGTCCCTGTCTTGGGGGCAGCGCCAGTCAGAGCAAGACCTGGGGGTGCAGACTCAGTGCCGAGCTTGACTGGGGCCGGGGGGCAGGGCTGCAGGGACCCGGGCCAGGGCGGGGGAGGGGCGCGGATGGGGGCAGGCCCCAGGGTGGGAAAGGTGGGGCTTTGGCTGCTGGGCGGGGCCTGGCTGGGCGCGGCGTGGAGGACCCCAGAGGCCCCTCCGCCCTGCCCCGTCACCGGCAGGTGGCGGCCGAGTACGAGCGGGTGCACGGGGCCATGGCCAGGCCGCCAGTCCAAGACTACGTGCCCTTCGCCTGGACCACCCTGGTGCGCGTCAAGGCGGAGCACTTCCGCGCCCTGGCCCACTACCACGCGGCCACCGCGCTCTGCGACGGCTCCCGTGAGTGCCCCCCCCACACACAGGCCCGGGTCGGGGAGGGGGCGGCAGAGGCCTGGCGCAGGGGGCTCACGGCCCTCTCTGCCCCCAGCGGCTGAGGCGGAGCTCCTGGCGCTGGAGCAGGTCTTTGTGGGGCCCCCAGCCCCATCGGAGCCCCGGCGCCCTGCGCTGCCCCAGGAGCCGGAGGAGCGCAGGAAGCTGGGTGAGACAGCCCCCTGCGGGGTGGGGGGCTGGTGGCCCTCCCCACCCCGTCATTCAGAAATCGCCCCTGCTGGGCATGTCTGGTGTCTCAAAGCTGGGGGGAGGAGTAGCCAACCCCCCCCAGCTGCCCCAGTGTGGGGGTGGCGCCCAGAGCAGGGGCTGCGGCGGGGGGGGGGCCCACCCCTGCAGCTCCTGCTGGACCTGCTCTCGGGACAAACCCAGACGCTGCCACCTGCCCTCCCCCTGTCCCATTGGGGCCGGGGAAGGGGGGCTGCGTGTGACGAGCGTGTGACGAGCGTGTGCCGGCCGTGTCCCGTGCAGGCAAGGCCCACCTGAAGCGCGCCATCCTGGGGCAGGAGGAGGCGCTGCGGCTGCATGCCGTGTGCCGCGCCCTGCGCAGGGTGGACCTGCTGCAGGCCGTGCTGGGCCAGGCGCTGCAGCGCTCCCTGGCCAAGTACTCGGAGCTGGACCTCGAGGACGACTTCTTCGAGGCCACCGAGGCGCCCGACATCCGGCGTGAGCGGCCAGGCCCCTGGGGATGCGCGTGTCCGGGGCATGGGGCGTGGGAGGTGGGGGGGGCGGAGACCCCCTCTGCAGCTGGGGGCACAGATGCCAGCGCCTCCCACACCCACGGGGTTCTGAGCCCGAAGAAGGGGCCGGGTGCCTGGGGCCCCCCCCGTTGCAGCCCCCTTGCTCTGCGCCCCCTCCCTGCACCTGATCCATGCCCCAGGGGGAGCTGTGGCCTGGGAGACACATGCCCCCAGCCAGGGACCCCCAGGGCTCCTCCACTAAGTGGGGGGCGGCCAGGTCCTGGATGTCCAAGAGGGGCCAGTGTCACCCACTCTGCTGTGGCCAAACTGCGCCCAGCAGCGTCCCAGGGGCCTGGGGGCTGGGGAACCTCGGGCTCAGTGCTGCCCCCACCCCCCTCTGCTGTCCAGCCAGGACGCACCGGAGGCCGGAGGCTCGGGCCCCCAGCTTCTCCTGTGGGAAGGCGGCTGACATCTTCCACCGGCTGGTGAGCACCTGCCCCTTGTCCCTGCCCGGCGGGGGGGCCCCACACGGCCCGGGACAGCAACCCCGCCCCACCCCGCTCCTCGGGGGTCTCTGCCCCAGGACGCAGGGGTCGGGGTGAGGGCCCCTGCAAGAGCGCCCCCAGCCAGGCCTCTGAGCCGCGGCGCCCCCCAGGGGCCCCTCTCCGTGTTCTCAGTCAAGAACCGCTGGCGGCTGGCGGGGCCCGTCCACGTGACCCGCGGGGAGGGCGGCTTCGGCTTCACGCTGCGGGGAGACTCGCCCGTGCTCATCGCTGCGGTCGTCCCCGGGGGCCGCGCTGCGGTAGGGCCACGCCCCGGCCGGCGGGAGGCAGCCCGTGTGGAGGGGGTGGGCCGGCCCGCGGCCAGGGGCGGGCGGCGTCCGCCCGGGACTCCGGACCAGACTGCCCGTGTCCCTGCAGGCGGCTGGCCTGCAGGAAGGCGACTACATCGTGTCCGTGGATGGGCAGCCGTGCCGGTGGTGGAAGCACGCCCAGGTGGTGGCCCAGCTGAGGGGCGTGGGCGCCGAGGGCGTGAGCCTGCAGGTGGCGACCCTGCTGCCCAGCGCCGAGCCGCCCGGCACAGTGAGCCCTGGGGCTGGGAGGGTGTCCCCACACCCTTGTCCCCCGACCCTGGTCCTCCAGGCCCCGGACATCCGCAGGGGCTGCCAGGGCCTTGGGAAGAGGCTGGTGTCCCAGTGTGCTCCCCCGGGTGGCCTGGGCAGCAGCCACCTGTGCCTCAGCCTTCACCTGGCAGTGAGCCCCTGCCCTGGACGCGGCCCCAGCCCACCCCACTCTGGGCCCACGCCCCTGTGGGCCCACCCCACTCTGGGCCCACCCCACTGTGAGCCCACCCCACTCTGGGCCCACCCCACTCTGGGCCCAAGCCCCTGTGAGCCCACCCCCCTGTGGGCCCACCCCACTCTGGGCCCACCCCACTGTGAGCCCACCCCACTCTGGGCCCAAGCCCCTGTGAGCCCACCCCCCTGTGGGCCCACCCCCCTGTGGGCCCACCCCACTCTGGGCCCACCCCACTCTGGGCCCAAGCCCCTCTGAGCCCACCCCCCTGTGGGGCCACCCCACTCTGGGCCCACCCCACTCTGAGCCCAAGCCCCTGTGAGCCCCTGTGAGCCCACCCCACTCTGGGCCCACGCCCCTGGAGGCTCCGGGCGGAGGCGCTGCAGCTCTGCCCCTCGGCTTTCACCCACCCCACCGTGGCACACCTGGGGGGACCCCACCGTGGGGCTGCCCTCACCTGAATCCCAGACCTTCCCCCAACACACCTGCCCCTCCTCCATCACACCCACGAGGCTGGCCACAGGTGGGCCGGGCCAGGGCTGCCAACCGACCGCCTCCTGTCTCCGTCCTGACTGCAGGGGGACCGCCGGCCGGCCCTGCGGGGGCTTCTGAGGAGCCAGAAGGAGTGCGGCTGGGAGACGCCGGCGCCGGCGAGGGCCAGCCCCAGGCCCCTCCTCGGCTGGAGCCGCAAGGCCCCGCAGGGCCGGCCTGGAGGGAGGCTGTGCCCGGCCCCTCGGCCCCGCGCTGCGGCGCCCCCACCCTCCAGCTGCCCCGGGAGGCAGTGAGGGGCGGGCCCCCCACACTGCTGCGCCCCAGCCCTCTCCAGCTGGCGGGCAGCAGGGCCCCCTCGGGCCCTCCCCCCCGGAGGACCGTCAGGCCCCTGTCTGCCGCCCAGCCCGGTGCCCAAGCTGCCCATTAAAGACAGTGTCAGATGACGAGTGTCTGCGCCCAGTGTGGGGGACCGAGTCCTGCACCCACACGGGGAGGGTCACCATCTCCCCCCTGGACACTGAGTCAGGGGCCAGAAGGCTGCTTCCCGGCCACCCTGTCCCAAGAAGGGCTGCTCCCCAGGGGGTGGGGGTGTCCAGCGGCCTGTCTTGGAGCCCGAAGCAGCCACCCCTGAGAGTGGGGGCAGGGCGGGGTGGGGGGCAGCAGTGGGTCCCTGCAGCCCGGACACCCCCTCCCCCGCCTGGCCCGCAGTGACACCTGCCGGGCGCCAGGTCCCCCTCCCCCAGCCCACCCGGCACCGCACAGCACGGACAGGGCTCAGCTCCCTCCCCGGCCTCTGAGCTGCCTTCCCACCCTTCACACAGCAGCCCAGGCAGGGCCCCAGACAAGGCCACTCTGCAGCACCTGTCACTGTCCCCTCCCTGCCTCTGCTCTCCCAGTCCCCTCCCCTGGCTCCACCCACCCCACAGCTCGGCCTGGGCACCCAGGCCGCTGCCCTGCCTTGAACCTGCCCAGAGGCCCTCATCCCCCCCCCGGCCCAGAGCCGTCACCGAGAGGTGCCCCCAGCCCTCCCCGGCCCCTGTGGGCTCCACACTCACCCCGCCCCCGTGATCCCGGCTGGGCTCCCTGGACTGTGAGTCCTCAGTGTCCCCTAGCCACACACACACACACACACACACACACACGAGGTGGCCGGTGGGGTGGGGGGGACAACGCTACCCCGAAGACCATCAGCGGACAGACTGCCCCGGGGTCCCTCAGAGCGCGGGCCCACAGGGAGGGGAGGCCGGCCAGGGGAAGCCCGCTGGCTGGCCCAGCTGCTCAGGGGTCACTGCAGCCACCAGGGGGCAGCCGCTGCCCACGCAATTGGCCACAGGAGGTGGGATCTTGGGCAGGAGTGGGTTTGGGGTGGGCAGGCAGCCGGAGACTGGCCCCTCCTCCCTGCGGACACTTCGTCCCCAGGTGTAGTCCCCAGACCGCAGCAGCCCATGGGGCTCGGCCCCTGGTCCGCCCCCCCCCCATTCCTGCGTTCGAGCTGTTGTCGGGGCGGAGGGCGGGGTGGGTGGGAGTGAGCGGGTGCAGCCGGGGCACAGGCGTGTCCCCGTGGCCCACCTGCCCCTCCTGGGAGAATCTGCCCCTCTCAGCAGAACCGGCCAAGGTCACCTCAGCACGTATTAATTTGATTAATAAAACTGTGCGTCAAGGAGGCCATTACCTGCTAATCGGGGATGACAGGGCTGGCAGCCCCGTCCAGGAGAGGCAGCGGCTCCCCGGCCGCCCGCACCCCCTCTGGGCCCCGGAGCGCGGGGGCCTGGGGGGCGCTGGGGCTCGGCTGCTGCCTCTAGCCTCTCACGTGCACGGGGCTGCCCGGGAGACGCCCGTGCCGCAGACCGCAGCCCTTCCCACCGCCGACAGCCCGCGCGCGGGGCACAGCCTCCTGCCTGCCCAGCCCTCCTGTGCCCCGCGGGCCTGGCCTCTCCCCTGGCGCAACTGGCTTTGCCGGCTCCGCCCCGGGGGAGCTGGGGGTGAGGCCCAGGGCCCTGGGCCTGGAGGAAGCCACAGCTTCACCCCAGCAGTCAGTCGCGGCCCGAGCCCCACCCCAGGAGCAATGCTGCCCCCCTGGGGACCGGGAGCTGGAGCCGAGGGCGGTGGCCTCCAGATGGCACGGTGGGCGACCCCTGCGACAGACCATCCTCAGCTGGGGGGGGGGCACAGTGCCTGCCCTGTGCGTGCTGGGACGGCGCCTGTCCAGCCTGGGCTGGACAGAGGGGGCTGTGCCCGTGAGGCCCTGCCGGGACAAAGGTGCTTCCCAAGTGGCAGTGGCCGCCTTGACCCGGGCAGCCTCACAGGTGTGCACACACATGTGGGCGTGTGTGTGTAAGGTCGGGCGTGTGCCTGCCCAGCCCACCCAGCCCACCCGCCCTGCTCTGGTGTGTCAGGGAATCTGGTCTCTTCCCGCGGGCCCGTCCCCACACGGGGGCCTCCGCCCGACTCCGGCCCGGCCTGTGCTCTCTGCCCTCCCTGGTTTCCGGCGGGCACCTCTCAACCTTCCCTCGACGCGGCCACACCTCGTGTCTGGGTTCAGCCCCGTGTCCTGGCCCAGTCACATCACCGTTTGTCACGGGGTCACGATGGGCCACGGGCCACAGGCAGGGACTGCATCCGCTCGTCCACGACCTCCATAAACACCTGGGCGGATTCGGCGGCCTGGCGGAGTGTCCCACGCGCGTGCCGCCCGCGGGGGCAGCAACACGACACCGCCTGGCTCCCTGGCGCCCGGCGCGAGCGGGGTGGAGGGAGCAGAGCCGCGCGCGCGTGTGCGGGGCCGGCGGGGCAGGGACCGCGGGCGGAGGGCCCCAGGGAGACCGCCGGCCCCCACCCCTGAGCGCGCCGCGGAGGCTCGGCGGCCCACACAGGGACTCCTCACTTTCCAGAGCCGTCCGCCCTGGGCGGGAGGTCGGGGGTGAGAGCGCGCTGGGATCCTTTTTGCTTTGCCAACAGAAAACCGCGGAGAGGGGAAAAGGCAACTCCGTTTCGCTTGGGTCAGCAGTGAGCCTGGCGCAGAGATTAATGTGCGCAAAGGCGCTCGGCGGAAGGGACTCCGAGCCGCCTGGGGGGCGGGGCGGGGCGGGGCTGCGGGGGCTGGGCACGGTGATGGACAGGAGGAGCAGGGACAGGGTCCCTGCCCAGGGGACCTTCCTCTGACCCCGCCCCCTTTCAGTTCGCTCTCTTCTGTGCTCGCATCCTACCCACCTCCTGTCCCCCCAGCCCTGGTGCCCTCTCCGTCCCCCGGCCCTCCCCCCGCTGCCCAGCCCAGGCCCCTCCCCCTCAGCAGCCCCGGTCTGCCCTCCATGCCCCTAGACCTCGGCCCCTGGGCTGAGCCCACAGGAGATGGCACCGGGGACCCACGGCCGGTCTGAGGGTGTGAGACGCCCCAGGCTGCGCAGCCACCTGGGGGGGTCCAGGGGCGGGTGCGTGGCCGGTGGAGGTGGGAAACGCAGCGGCTCTTCAAGAGCCCGGGAGGCCCTGGCGCCGCATGGGGAGAGGCGGAGGCCAGGACCAGGCTGGGGAGCGGGCGCCCTGCTGGGGCCTGAACCCCGGAGCCCCAGGCAGGGGCCCTGCGGGATTTGCTGCCTGACCGCAGTGGGCTCAGTGGGGCCCAAAGACCCGGCCGCCGGGAGCCTGGGTACCTGAGGAATTGCGGGTCTGGGGCGGGGTGGTCCCGGGTGTCCCCAGGACCCTGGATCGGCTGACAAGCGTCTCCAGCAGAGGCAGGACAGGGCGGGACGGGACGGGAGAGTGGAGCTGAGGAACGCCTGGGTTCCCGGGTGCCGCAGGGAGCGTGCGGGCAGGGGCCCGCCCTGGGGCGGCCTCCAGCCCTGGCAGAGGGCGTTGCCGTTGTTTTAAGGCTCCAAGTTCATGGGCATTTGTGAGAACAGCTGCAGGAAACCAGCACGCCAACCTCACACACGTCTGCGTGTCTGGGCCTCGGTTTGTCCTTCTGCAGGGTGGGCCTAATCAGACGGGACCTCAGGGGTTGGATTAGAGTGCGGGGCTCGGCCCAGGCTGCCGGAGAGACACCCCCTTGTCGGGAAGCTGCCCTGCCCCTTCGATTCGGAGAGTCCCAGTGGCCCGAACACATGCATTTTGGGGCTGTCCAGCTGGAGGCTGACACCCCACCCTTCCCCCTGCCTGTCCCCCGACCCTGGCCCAGAGCCTCCCACGGCATCGTCCAGGGAGCTGCAGGTGTGTCTGGGGACCCCGAGGAGAGGCTGGGAGGAGACGCCGGAGGAGGAAGGTGGGGAAGAAGCCGGCGGGGCAGGAGAGCAGCGAGGTGCTGGAGATCAGAGGAAGTGGTCGCTCGGTGCCCCCACGGCCGGGGCCAGGCCAGCCCTGCTGAGGGCCGGGGGCGGAGCTGCAGGCCTGGTGAGTGGGGGGCCTGAGGTCTCTCCAGAGGATGGGGGTGAGCGTGGGGCCCAGGAGGCGTAGGGCCGCCGGCTGGGGGCCTTCCTGCCCCCACGGGACCCCCGAGTTCGGGGGCAGAGGCTAGACCAGGGTCCTGGGCAGCTGGCACCGGAGGTCAGCCCCTCCGGGGTCAGGAGGAAGGCCTGGGCAGGCCCCGCCACCCCACAGGGAGTGAGGCCTCCCTGCCTCAGTTTCTCGCTCATCCCCAGCTGCCTCTGACCTGGAGGCCGAGCCGTGTTCTCGGGGGCGCCCACACACCACAGCGTCTCCCTGGGGAGGGCGGCCAGCTCCTGGCTCCTGCCCGCACACAGCCCCCCCCCCCCGCCGCCACCCCCACGGGCAGCCAGACGTGCATTACGGCGAGAGTGACTTATCGAGCTGTCAGGGGGAGCATTTTAAGACAGAATTATAGGGGAGAGGAAAAAGATTTTTACCAAATTAATGAAAAATCAATCTGGCTTCAAAAATCCATTAGCCTTCATAATGCGTCGGTTACGGGCGGAGCCGCGAGATCCATAGCTGCTGTTAAATACACCTCCCCCGCCCCCAGCCCGCCATTCGTTACCCACCCCCGTGTTTACTTCTGAGACCCACGCCTGCCCCCCTGTCCCCCCCCAGACTCCTGCCCCCCGCCCTGCCCCGCCATCTGGCTGAGAGGGCCACTGGCCCCCAACGCAGCCAGGGCCCCTGGAGGCCGGGTGAGGCCATGGTGTGGTGGAGCCGCCGCAGACAGGGTGGGGACCTGGGTGCCAGGGGTGTGCTTGTTGGCTAAGGCGGTCACCGGGGCGGCAGCCGGGTGGTGGCCGTGTGGCCAGGAGGTCGGTGCTGCTGGTGGCTGGCCGTGGAGTGGGGCGGGCCCTGCGTGGGTGGCCAGGGAGGCTGCGGTGGTGGCAGCCTGGGGCCTGCCTGTCCCTCTCTTCCACCAGAGGGTCCCGAGAGGTCCGGGTGGGGCCCCGCACTGATCACCGCGCACAGCCTGTGTGCAGGGCAGGCAGGGGCCAGGCTCCGTCC